CTTTTGGAGCAAGAAGAACCTGCAAGATGCAGAAAAGCACGTGGGCAGTCAAACTATGCATCGCATTTAACCACATGCTCCTTTTGACCCTGACTGTATTAGCTTGAGAATCTGCCTACAGAACAAATCTGTGAATAATGGGGCAGGTTCTGCTGCTCCCCTTTCCCACATGATTATTTTTATATTTTATTAGTTTTTATTAGTCAGAAATAAAGCCATCTAGAATATATTACGTGTGGTTGTGCTATCTCTAGGCTTCTGCCAAGAGACTATTTGAGGTATGTGCTTTGTTTTATTAAATATTAAGCCACAGTAAGACATATACCACATATAGGTAGTTTAGCGTTTGTCAGGCACTGTGATGAGTGACGTCCATGTAACTCTACAATGTTCATGATGGTCCTGGTACCCACATCCCATTCTACAGAGAGGCAAATTGAGGTTCAAATGAGGCTCAATTTACCCAGTCTCACTGGTTATAAAGAACCAAGAATCAGTCCCAATAAGCTCATCCAGAGCCTGTGATCTCAGTCACTTCATTCCATAATGTGATTCAGACACTTCCCTGATGAGAGTCTTATGGAAAACGGCACTGTATACTTTTATCCCTAATTGTATAATAGCAAAGTTCCCTTCACCTAGGAAATAATGGATTTCCAAATGGTAGCTAAGGAAGATTCAATTTTTGTTCACAAGCTAATCTATAATCCCACATTTGATTCACTCATGTCAATTCACTAATTCCCAAGAAACCAAAGAGGTGGATACATTTGATGGGTACAGAGATCCCTGGAGTGTATCTTTAGGTTCTTTTATACTCCAACTGTTATTCTAATAATTAAATCAAAGTCTTCTATTTTCTACTGGGGTGCTTTTTCAGAAATCAAAAGATCTTCCTTTATTTATTTTTAAAGTTTCATGTCTTTTTGGTCAGAGATTGTAACACAACAGGATGTGCTCCCTGGAAAGGACTGTCTCATATATAACGTCAACTTAATATCCCTAATCTCCTTCTGTGAATTAACTGCATGAAGGAAAGCTAGCTACCTTTGAGGAGGGGTACATAGGAGTACCACTGGCCTCGGACAGGATGGGTGAATAGGGGAAGTCTTTAAAATGGAAGCACTCATACTTATCCCCAGCGTGATCATGACATTAAATGAGATAATCCATTGAAATGGCCTAACATGGCACTCAGCACATTGTGTAGACACACAATTAACCTTAGCTCCTTTCTTCTTCTTTTATAGTACATTTCACTATAAAATTCAGAAATAATGTCTCACCTATTATCTGAGCATAATATTGCAAGGTGACCACTGGGTCACCTGCTGGGTGCACCTATCAGCTACAGCTCTGGGGAGATGCTGACAGCTGGAAATGTCATTGTCTTGTAGATTGAGGATAATGTCAGAACCACCACTGGATTTAAGTCCTGATTTCTTTCCCAATGTAGTTTTAGAATCTTCTATAAACCCCTTAGACTCTGGTCTGTGGTGCTGCTATCTAAATGGAGGGCTCTGAGCTTAATCACTGCTAAAGTATCTTTTCACTGAGAAGGTATTACTTAGTATCTTGGGAGAGAGCCAGTTACTGCAAGACACTGAGGTGCTCATTTAGTATACGTGTTTTCCTAGTTATTGCATGATGTATTTAGGAACAGGGAGCCATTGTATGAGATAGTATACTGGTGATCATGTACCACAAGGGATGTGGATGGAATTTGGGCATAAATAAATCTCAGTACATTCTTAAGACTATGCTATCCTTGTTAAGTGTCACTGCAAGCTTTGTAAAATATAAATAATATTTAAATCACTCTAGATCTGTAAATTCAGATCTTATTCGAGCATTTCAAATCTCTTTTTTTCTTTTCAAATCTCTTAAGATGAGAATAATGTTTTCAATATAATTATATAAGCCACCAAAATGTTAATCTATATACATTAGTTAACTATTGCTCTGTCTCCTGGACAATAGAAATCCATAAACATTTTAAAATAGGGATCTTTTAGTGGAAAACAGGTTTCCTAGGGCACTAAGTCCATTACCAGGTGGAACTCTCTAAATAGTGGAGGATCTGCCTGGGTTTTGACCACAGCATTGACTTTTGAGAACTCAGTGGTGCTGAGTCACTGGTCTGAAGTTCATGAAGATTTACTTGGTTCCCACAGAGTCTGCTATGACCCTCAGTGTACTCCACGTTTGTCTAACTCCTACTGAGCTCCATGTTAGTAGCATATCCACTTTCATTATTCAACTTGGGTCTTTACATTGGATATAAGATGCTCTGGTCTCATTCAAAAATCTTTCACCTTATAATGCTTAATTTCCTTTGGATAAAGATATGTAGGTAAAATTATTTTTTTTAATTTTTTTTTTTTAATGATAGAGAGAGAGAGAGGCAGAGACATAGGCAGAGGGAGAAGCAGGCTCCATGCACTGGGAGCCCGATGTGGGATTCGATCCCGGGTCTCCAGGATCGCGCCCTGGGCCAAAGGCAGGCGCCAAACCGCTGCGCCACCCAGGGATCCCCTGTAGGTAAAATTATTTAACTGATTATAAGATTTTTAAATATATGTGTGTGCATGTATGTATACTATATATATATAGCATATAGTATGTATACTGTATGTATATATAGTATACATCTTTGAAATCAGTTTGCATCTTACAGCACATGGCAACATTTTTTTTCCTTATAAAACAACAAGGGCATATCAGAAATGATGAAATACAGTAGATTTGACCAATACAATCAAACCTTTCTTCTATTTTAGTCAAAATAAACAAATATCATAGAAGCAAAATTATATTTTAATAGCTTTTAAACAATCTTTCTAAGACAGCTCTGTAATAATGCTAATAATTTTCATTTAGCTCATTTCTAAGAGATTTTTAGAAAGAGATACACAATTGAAATAGCTGCTAAAAAATAAAACTACGGGGCCTGGGTGGTTCAGTTGGTTAATAAGTGTCTGACTCTTGGTTTCAGCTCTGGTCATGATATCATGGGTTATGAAATGAGGCTTGAGGCCAGCTCTGTGCTCAGTGGGGAACCTACTTGAAAATTTTCTCCTTCTGCCCCTCCCCCCACTCATGCGCACTCATGCTCTCTCTCCCTCAATCTCTCAAATAAGTAAATAAAGCTTAAAAAAAAAAAAACAAAACAAACAAAAAAAATCCCTACAGACCCAAAATGGAGTTTCTTATGCTAAGCCCCATGTCACCAAACTGAGACTTGACTTAATTACAGTTTTGGTTCTTCTAGAAGAGGAATTTTCAACTAATCAGGAAATGCTTGACTAGCACTAGTTAGGTCATCTGTCTGATAGATCCTTGCCATCTAATAATCAACCTGCTCTTGTTGCCTAGTGTCACTTCCTTGTTCTCACTTACTTCTGCCTATGAAAGTCTGATTTTGTACAGCTCCTAAGAGCTCTTTTCTATCTGCTAGATTGGATGTTGCTTGATTGGAACTGATTTTTATTCAAATAAACTCTTAAAATTTTTAACACACCTCATTTTATCTTTTTACAAATAGATAATCTTGCAAGCTATTTTTACAAGTGGATGTCTCAGACAGCCACTAAACCACAGTCCCTTACTGCTTAAAAACTGTTATGATCTTCTTTTGCACTTTTTGCCATTAAAAATGCAAGGTCAAACACCTCTGAGAAGATTGGTCCTTAAAGTATATGCTTGTAATTTAGAACTACATTTATGTTTTCTCCAGCTACAAAGGTATCTTCGTGATTTTTAGCATTCTTCAGAAATGAGAAAACTTAGCACAAATACCAGCATTTTTCTAATCAATTTCAAGAAACACTGAAGAAAAGTTTGCTTCTAACCTCAGAGAGCTGAAGCTCCACAACCCAAAGGACTGGCAGTGAACCCCACGGCAAAGCTCTGCTGGAAGGCCCAAAGGCGGTGATCACACACCTTTGCAATAAACAGCTTCGATCTTGTGCCCACATCTGGGAGAGGATGCTGCTTTTACTAACCCTGGCCTTCCTCACTCCACGTTGCCTAATTCCCCTTAAAAACCGAAGGACAGGCTTGTGAATATGTGGTTTAAGTAATGAAATAGCGCAGGTTCCTTGATAGGAAACAGAGGGACTGTCCGGGTGCCTCAGGCAGTTTTGCCTCAGAGAAACAGCACAGATTTCAGGTAACAGAACATGCTGTTTCTTTTCCTTCCTCTGTCTTGCAGAGGTTATGTCAGCATGGACAGTCACAGAGATCAGCAGCTAGGTGACAGCACAGTGACTCAATCAGTTTTCAAATATGTGGAGGTTCATAGCCATTGCTCATATGGGCTGAGAACAGAAGAATTTGAGATTACTACGTTAAGAGTTCTAAAGACCCAAAAGAAAACAAATAAGCTGGTTCCTCCAAGCAAGGCCTCCAACAAATAAATTGGCAAAGGAAATTGTTTTCCTAAATTTAGAGAATCTGGCTCTAAAGGGAAGTGAGTCTCTCTTCATTCTGTGGGTTCACAGTGGGAATGGCCATCATACTGTTTCTCTCAGACCTTCCCCTGCCCCTGAGCAGAATCTAGAAGACTGTCCCACATGGGTTCCAATAGTAATATCCCTTATTTTATTCTTTTAAAAGTTCTACTTATATCAGTTTCTAGAATTATAGCTCCCGAGGGAAATTGATGGGTGTGGATGTCACTATTTTATTAATGCTAAAAAGGGCATAATAGTCCACACCAACCTCTGGAGAGAAGATCCAAGAATGGTACAGAGATATTACACTCCATTTTCAAATCAGCAGTGTTTTCTCTTAAGACATGTCTCTTCAAAGCAGACAAAAAGTTTATGACAACATCTTGTGTGGCTCTGGTGAAAGATCTGAGCGGAATGAGAGAGCGCAGACTGGGTTTGCAAGGAAGATTCCAGATGTGTGGACACCACTGAGCTGTAGGCTCAGATTTAGCACAGCTGGGTTCCTGTGGACAGTGCTTTCTGAGGCTGGAGAACATGCACACTTACAGGACAGGTGGAGGTGATCTGCTCCCACTGCGTCATGTTCAGGCTGTCCACCAGACTTGTGCATTTCTTCATCACCATGTCCCAGCCACAGTAAGGGTCCTGGGCTCCAATGCAGGTGCTGCAAACATACACCCAAAGGTCAACAGAGAGGCAAGGCAGCCTTCCCCACACTACAATAGACCCAAGTTTACAGGAGTCTGGCCCTCACGAACTGACATGGGAACCAGTTCCGAGAAACAAAGTTTTAGTCTGCACGCTGGAGAACAATGTATGCATACATCCATAAGTATCTAACTGAATCAATTAATTTTGGTTGAAATATCTATATTTTTCTTAAGATACAGGTTGGACAACTAAAGAACTATGGGTGCCAACGTGAACCTTTTGGTGTCATGAATAAAGCTAGTCAGAATTTTGCAATGCTCAAAAACAGTAGGTTTTGTTATCACCACCACCATCATCATTATCATCATCATCACCACCACCACCACCACCACCATCATCATTATCATCACCACCACCACCACAACCCCACAATCATCATCTTCACCCCCTTAGCAACAGGTAGTATTTGCTGAAAACCTGTTATATCTTTCAGATACAACTTTTATAAAAAGGCGTTATCATTTTCACTCTATCATCATCTTAATCACTACCATCACCACCATCATCACTACCACCAGCACCAACCACCTCCACCACCACCATCATCATCACTTTAATTCCAGATGTTATTTGTTGAACATCTGCTGTAATATATCAATTTATTGTATCATTTAGACACTTAACTCTAATGAGGAAGGTAGTATTATTTTTATTTTGTTGATGAGAAAACTGAGGCACAGAAGATTTAAGAAATTGACCCAAGGACAAGCAAATATACCCAAAACCCTTCAACATGGTTAGTTTGAATTTAATAAAATAGGAAAATCTTTTGGGTACTGTAGCTTAAAAAGGAATTAAAAATTTCAATTTAAATGTAGCTTAATACAGTTCCAACTGCAATACTAAACACATTATTTCAGAAGGATTGCAGGTGGTAGATGCTTTATTTTAGCTTTGTCTCCAAGAAAGAGTTCATACACCACAGGGGCATCATTAGATGAAGACTTTGGCCCCTGTGTTATAAATGCAAGAGAAGGTATTCGAGGGTGGAGGGAAGCAGACAGAGTGATAATGACTGAGCCAAAATTATACAAAAGATGATGCCGCAGGCAAGCAGGGCATTGAACACCTGAGAATTCTCTCTCTGAAGGGGCCAAGAGGCCAGATGTGCAGTAAATGGGAGGGAGGAAAGGCAGGCTAGTGCAGCATGGAAGTGCTAATGTCTTCTTAGGGGTAAGGAGCCCCTTCCAACTGGGAGAATCTGTTAGAGGATTGATTACCAGTTAACCAAGAGTAGGCCTAGAAATCATGGCATATCTATCAAACGTGGGCCAAGGAGGTAGTATAAGTAATATTAAATTTTTAATATCAATGATATAAAATAATCCTAATTAACATATCAAATATGTTACCACATATCAAGCACCATTTTAAGAGCCTGACCTCTATTAGCTCATTCCAACCCCACAGAACCTTTCTAAATGAAATAAATGTAGTTGCTTTCAAATAAAGAAGCTGAAGCAGAGAAAGCTGAAGTAGAAGTCTCACAGCAGGGGCATATAACTCTAAAGACAATAAATCAAGCAATAATGGTATAAAACTATTACTTATTGTTATTATGGAATTATTATTTATTTACCACCCAGAGAAGTTCAAACAGAGATGGTTAACACTGTTGCTTCTCCCAGCAGGACTAGGTTGGATGGAGAGGGGTATGGGACAGTCACCTGTCACCACTGCCTCATAAGCACTTGTTGGTAAGTGATCAGGCACATGTTAAAAGGTAAACTGAGGCACATTGAAATTTCGAATCTGGTAGCATCAAATCTAAAGGGCTTAGGAGTCTCCCCTAACGGGAGCTAGGGGAGAGAATTTTACAGAGAAGACTCGGAGGCAAACCAAGGAAATTATTTTATTGCCTGTAGCTTAAAAGGTGGCCTTATTTGGGAAAGCCTGGTTGACTGGGATGGGTCGTTCACAAGTTTCACTTTCTCAGATTCAAGGGCAGTGACTCTGACATTGGTTTTGGTTTGCTGAGGTCAGCTACCAAGGCTTTAGGGCCACCCCAGGCTAAGAGCCTCTTGTTGAACTACCTTAACAGGCATATAGCGCCTGCATGTGAAAGATCAAACAAAACAGTTATAATGCACACAATACATGCTTTTCTTCCCTAGAACTAGGCACTATTCAGACTTTTATTTATTTGGAATATATTTTTTCTTCACAAATTAGAATTCATGCATGGTTACGTCTATATATACTTACATATTTTTGTTTGTGTTTATCATTACGATTAAATAAAACACACACAAAGGGAACTTGTACACATAGCCTCTTATTTTGCTTTTTACACATAAAAATATATTCTAACTTCTTTTTTTGTCAGCATATATAGCTCTACATTGTTCCTTAGATGGCTGTATAGTGTTCTGTTCTAGATGAGTCAATATTTATTTGAATCCTTCAAAAGCAAGGCTGTAATGCACTTTTGTACGTATTTTCTACACAATAAACTTCTATATGTGGAACTTATGAGGCATAAGTTATGGGTATTAATAATTTTGTATCATCAATAGTTTGGAGGGTAACTACTCTCCCTCTTTCATGTTGAATGCTGCCTTTTTTTTTTTTAAACTTAGCCCTTTCTAATAGATAAAAACACTCTTCTAGTCATCCGTTCTATTTGTTCAGTTGTGAGATTAAAATGTAGTGTATGTGTATGCATTTATGCATCACCTATATTTCCATTCCTGTAAATTTCCTATTTGTAACCAATTCCTGCTTTATGCTTCTTTTTGATTGAATAACTGGCTTCACCGTTTTTATGTAGTCATTGCAAGTGAAAATTTCGGTGTCAGAAAATTAACTCCCTTTCAATAATGTTTCAAATACTTTTCCTACTTGTCATTAAATATTTTTTCTTGAGATACAAATGTTTTAAAATTTTATGCAGTCAAGTTTATGCATCTTTTCCTTCACAGCATCTGAATTTTGTGCCATATTTTGAAAGAGCTTCCACACTTAAAAATCATAAAAACATTTAAGCAGGATTTCTTCTGATCCTTTTATAGTATCATTTCATTTGCCTTCCTGTGATCCATGTGAAAAATATCTCTAGCAACAATCCCTTCCTCCCTCCATTTGTTGAATTAAAACAAACAGGCAAACAAACAAACAAAACATGTATTTTTTTAATCTAAACTTCTCCATTCTCATATCAACAGAAACAGATCTGGGGCTTAGAAGTAACAACCAGGAAGCTGTAGGGTTTCTTTTTCCTTTTTCTACTGAATTCAGACAACATCTTTTTAAAACACAAGTTTATAACACAGAACGTGAGCATCAGCTTTTGAAATCTCTAGCTTTTGAGGTTGGGGAATATAATATTTTATTAACTTACTTTTAAATAAAAATTCATTTCAGTGATCAGTTCCATAGAGTGGAATTTGACTTGTATTCATAGTAAATAAAGCATAACCCATATTTCTCAATTTTAAGAACTCATCATTTTAAAGACACACAATTGATTTAATACCTTTTTTTGTTTTGTTTTGTTTTAGGGAATAAGAGAGATGAAAATAAACCAGTGACTGTGTAAGTCAGGAAAGTGTGCATTTTTGCATCTACAAAATAAGATATTTCACATATTGTCACTAGTTTCAAGGCCAGCAAATCATCCCTCAGAAATGTTGCCTGTGCAGATGTTGTTCTGTAGGAAGTTTGTGGAAATCTGAAGACCCCTCAACTATGAGACAGATCTGGGCACAGGTGAGAACTAGGAGTCTTTCTGCTTCCTGCTGTGACCCTGCTTGGCTGGGACAGTGAGACCTGACCCACAGCATCCAGGTCTCAGCGCATCTGCCACATTGACAGAATGCCACAGCCTGAATCACACATGGGAATCCTCTCGTGCGTGAGCCCATTTTCACACTGGCGGGTAAACAGGACAAAGCTACATTTACAAAATGATTCAAAAGGCCTGAATTCCTTTTCATGTTTCTTATTAAAGCAACTTGACCATCAGACAAAATTAAAATTCCAAAAACAGTATAATTCCATCAAACCCCCTTCACTTTGCCCTAGGCTTCTCTTTGCAAATCTGCCTGCAGGGCTGAAACAATGCCACAGGGTTACACAGGATATTTTAAGCTGTTTTAAATGAAAAGCTGCTTGTAAAAACATCTCTGTCTTCCCATAATGTTGGCGGCTTTGCACATTCTTAACATTCCACTTATCCCTTAAACTATTAAAACTTCTCTACAAGCACAAATGCCCATTCATTAAAAATTCCATTTATATCTAAATATGTTTTCCTCAGTCAAAATATTTCATACCATAGCAAAATTCTGATGAGCCCTACTTTTAAAGTATGCTTTAAGAAAACCCAATGATCATAACTGATTGCCCTGGGAAGGTAGGTCTTTTAAAGAGACCATGTAGAAGATAACAGATGTCTTACTAATGAGGCCATCAGGAAAGCAGCTTTTCTTTCTTTCTTTTTTTTTTTTTTTTTGAAAGCAGCTTTTCTTCACCACACTTTGAAAATGTTTTTCTTTGTATGATGAATCTTTTTAATAAAAAAATTTCTTATTTTGCTAATAACCTCAGATTATTCTCATTTGATATATTGCCCTGGTATTTGAGAGGATCTGAATTCAGAAAATACATTGGTCAGAATCTGAAAGTTTAATTTAAAAACACATTTGTTGAGAATACGTTTTTGAGCTCAATGTGTATTTAGAGACAGGCCTTAATTCTAGAAGAGGAATAAACTTCTTGCCCATTTCTAGGACAGTGATATATATTAACATTTAGCTAAATTTTTCCTTTGAATTTTAAAGTTTGTAGTTCTATTTTCTAATTTGAGTAAGAGGGAAAAGAGATATATTCATTAAAATCTTCTCATTGTATTTCTAGACAGCTGGAGCTGATTACTGAATACATTCCCCTCACATGTTAGATTATCTGAGTGTCGATGACTTTATCTGATTTGTTTGTTACACTAATTGTCAT